CCCAGGAACGAGTCAGGCTCCATCAAGAAGCCCACCTGTTCTCTCAGTTCCCCATGCTGCGTGTGTCCCTTCTTCCATCCCTTCCTTTGGGGGGCGGCGCTGCCCCCCTGAAAAATGGCGCTTGCCCCCTGTATGAGGCTGCTGTCCCCCTGAAAAATTCCACCCTAGTCAAATGCCTTGTTTGCCTTGTGGTAAATACGCCCCTGGCTCTGGGGGCACTTGGCAGGAGGGAGGGGCAGGAGCACCGGCGGGGGACCCAAGAAGAGGGGGATCGGGGCTGCTCTGCACAAAACCATTATAGAGGGGTAAGTATTAGTGATGGGCTGAACACCCCCTTGTTTGGTTTGCGATGAACATGCGAGCATTGCGAACGTTTGACTGCGAATTTCGAACAGAGGAGACAATTCTCTAAGCGGTATCTTCCTGCATCTGAGTGTGTGGTGAGATCCCGCTCAGCGACTACAATCCGGAGGGAGTTCGATGATGAAGTCACGCGGTATGTTAGTAGTGAGACATCCATTCATGTTTCAGCTGAATGGAAAAAAGAATTGCCGGAAATTAAAAAATGTAAAGAAAAAAAAAATGCCGTAGGATCCCCCTTATCCATACCAAGCCCTCCAGTATGGATTTTGAGGGGAACACTTCATGCCAATACATTTTTTTAAAATGGTGTGGTGGCCCCCACCCAAAATCCTTCCCAGGCCCTTTTCCGAGCATGCAGCCCGGCAGTTCAAGAAAGGGGGGACGAATGAGTGCCCCCCCTCCTGAACCATACCAGCCCACATGCCGTCAGTATGGGGGGGGTGGTGCTTTGTCCCCATGTTGATGGGCCTCTTCCCCACAAACCATGGCCGGTGGTTGTGGAGGTCTGCGGATGGGGGGCTTATCAGAATCTGAAAGCCCCTTTTAACAAAAGGGGCCCCCAGATTCTGCCCCCCTCATGTGAATGAGTATGGTACATGGTATTGTTACTCAATCACAGAAAAAAAAATGTAGCGTAAAAATTGACATTAGACATTCTTTGACAAATCCTAATGAAAAACAAACATTTTAAAAATTCCCCCGAAGTAGATCCGACGTCAATCACAATACCCGCCGCCACCGCTGACCCGAAAAAAGAAAAACATTCCGCTCTCAACGCCGTGTGACAGCTGCGCAGTGATGACAGTTCTTAAATACTGTGATGACGTCACAAGGGGACAGGGTCACCCGAGCCTACTTGTGACGCTTATCATGCGCTGTGATTGGCCAAAGCATTGCACCTGACCTGTGGATCCTTGAGTCGCACTACGCAATTGTGTGATTTTATAATGCATATGTTTGAATCAAGGCTTCAGGCTTGGCATGGGAAAAATATGGCATCTCTAAGGAAAAAGGTTGGATTTACAAGGCCTTACAATGTCCCTTGAGAGCCCAACCGTACCATAGATCACACGTTTCTTGACTCTTCCTCCATGTTGTCGTTAGGCAGGAACATCGATTCCAGGTTACTAAGCCTCCTTGTCTGCTGGCTGGCTTGCCTCCTCGATTCTTTTTCATTTTTGATTTGGATCGACTCCTTGTTTTCTGAATTGTTTTGCAAACATAAACTTGATCGATTCTCCATCTATGCCTCCTTATATGGCTGCATCCACCTGCCACCCCCATCCTGTAACAATATACAATCAGTGCGGCACTCACCCCCAGAAAGGCCCGCTGAGTAGTCCCAGGTTTCCTAGATAGGTAAAAGCAGCCAGGCACAAAGTCTCAGTCACTCCTCTGGATCAATGAATAGTCTAGGGCAGGGGTCTCCGAACCATGGCTGGGACAAGGGGTGGGCAGGAGGGGCAGCTGCCCTGGGCGCAGAGAAGCAAGGGGGAAAAGAAGCTGGGGGGTACACCCATTCTATGACATGCATTAACAGTGGAGGAGGGGGGTCCTGCACTCAGGTCTGTACTCACTCTATCCTTAAATACGTGGTTGCCTCCTTCCAATATCAGCCAGACATTTCTCCCGTGAATTCCCCAGACCAGATCCGCGATCAGCTCCAGCTACTCTCAGAAAGACAGCCCCCCCCCCCAGTGATAGCCTAGCTGGGACCTCAATGAGCTCCTGTTAGAACTTCAGTTGCACTGCCCAGAAGGGCACCAACCCCTCAGGCTGGGAACTTCTACTGCTTGAAAAAAACAGGCTGTCTCAGCCCACGTACTATTTATGCACCCCTCAGCCACCTGCTGGGCATCCTCCCCCAGGGATTGGCTAACACCACATAAATATTCATGCCCAGGGTCTGCCTCTTCCAGCCCACTACATTCTAGATAGACAGACATGTGCCATTTGGTTCGTTCAGACTCACTTTTCAGAGGAAAATCTCATTTTCGGAGATTAGGGTATATCTAAATTCCCAAATGGGCCTAGTAACAAATCTGTAACAAAGTTATTCAAGTTTTCGGATTCATTCAAATTAATTTGGATCTTTCGAATAGTTGAGAAGAGCGAGTTGTTAAGGATCAGGCGGCCGCTGCGTCCTTAAGGCGGAGCTCCACCTAAAAGGGGAAGTTCCGCTTTAAGGACTTCACCCCCGCTCCCCATTAAGGATTGGCACCTTTGGGGAGCGGGTGGGGGGGGAGGTACCTGAATTTGACAGGTACCCGCTCCCACTTCCGGAGGGACTGCCTAGGTGATCGGAAACGGAAGGTGTCCTCTCTCCCTGTAGTCTTTTGGGACACATGACAGGTCCCAGAAGACTACGGGGCCATTCATGAAGCGCAGCGCTACTTGCGCATGCGCAGTGGGTACCCGGATGTGAAACCGCAAGCTATAACAGCCGGGTGCTCACACTGAAGATGCCGGCGCCTAGAATACAGGACGGCCGGTGAAACGGGCTGCGGGGGACACACCACAGGACTGAGGGACAGGTAAGTGTCTGTTTTTTAAAAGTCAGCAGCTACAGTTTTTGTACAGTTTTTGTAGATGCTGACTTTTATTTTTTTGACAGGTGAGTGGAACTCCGCTTTAACAACCATGATTCATCTGCTGTCAGCAGAAAGCACACAAAAGAAGGGCCAGTTAAAAAAATTAAAAAAAAAACCCCTTCGTGTCTGGTGTGGATTATGAGAGGAACCACATGGCAAAATAAAAGGAAAAAAGAAATGTTTTATTTTGGTTCGTTCAGACTCACTTTTTCAGAGGATAATCAACTTTTCAGAGATTGGGAAGTATTCAAATTTGTCGAATGGACCTAGTGATGAATATGTAACAAAGTTAATTCAATTTTTGGACTCATTCAAATTCATTCGGATTTTTTGGAGAATTGAAAAGAGTCGGTTGTTATTGAGCAGGCGGCTGCTGTGCCCTTAACCACTTCCAGTCCGGACACTTTCCCCCCCTTCCAGTCCGGACACTTTCCCCCCCTTCCAGTCCGGACACTTCCCCCCCTTCCAGTCTGAACACTTTCCCCCCCTTCCAGTCCGGACACTTTCCCCCCCCTTCCAGTCCGGACACTTTCCCCCCCTTCCAGTCCGGACACTTCCCCCCCTTCCAGTCCGGACGCTTCCCCCCCCCCCCCTTCCAGTCCAGACAGTTTTCCCCCCTTCCAGTCCGGACACTTCCCCCCCTTCCAGTCCTGACACTTTCCCCCCCTTCCTGTCCGGACACTTTCCCCCCCTTCCTGTCCGGACACTTTCCCCCCTTCCAGTCCTGACACTTTCCCCCCCTTCCTGTCCGGACACTTTCCCCCCCCCCCCCTTCCAGTCCGGACACTTCCCCCCCCTTCCAGTCCGGACACTTTCCCCCCCTTCCAGTCCGGACACTTTCCCCCCCTTCCAGTCCGGACACTTCCCCCCCTTCCAGTCCGGACACTTTCCCCCCCCTTCCAGTCTGAACACTTTCCCCCCCTTCCAGTCCGGACACTTTCCCCCCCTTCCAGTCCGGACACTTTCCCCCCCTTCCAGTCCGGACACTTCCCCCCCTTCCAGTCCGGACGCTTCCCCCCCCCCCCCTTCCAGTCCAGACAGTTTCCCCCCTTCCAGTCCGGACACTTCCCCCCCTTCCAGTCCTGACACTTTCCCCCCCTTCCAGTCCTGACACTTTCCCCCCCCTTCCAGTCCGGACACTTTCCCCCCCCCCTTCCAGTCCGGACACTTCCCCCCCTTCCAGTCCGGACGCTTCCCCCCCCCCCCCCCCCCCCCCCCCTCCAGTCCAGACAGTTTCCCCCCTTCCAGTCCGGACACTTCCCCCCCTTCCAGTCCTGACACTTTCCCCCCCCTTCCAGTCCAGACACTTTCCCCCCCTCCAGTCCGGACACTTCACCCCCTTCCAGTCCGGACACTTTCCTCCCCCTTCCAGTCCGGACACTTTTCCCCCTTCCAGTCCGGACACTTTCCCCCCCTTCCTGTCCGGACACTTTCCCCCCCTTCCAGTCCAGACACTTCCCCCCCTTTCCAGTCCGGACACTTTCCCCCCTTCCAGTCCGGACACTTTCACCCCCCTTCCAGTCCGGACACTTTCCCCCCTTCCAGTCCGGACACTTTCCCCCCCTTCCAGTCCGGACACTTTCCCCCCTTCCAGTCCGGACACTTTCCCCCCCTTCCTGTCCAGGGCAATTTTCACCTTTCAGCTCTATCACACTTTGAATGACAATTGCGCGGTCATGCAACACTGTACCCATATGAATTGTTTACCATTTTTTTGAGACAGATAAAGCTTTATTTTGGTGGTATTTATTCACCCCTTGGATTTTTATTTTTTTTGCTATGTAAATGAAAAAGTCCAAAAATTTTGAAAAAAAGTGTTTTTCTTATAAAATTTTGCAAATAAATAATTTTTCATCATAAATCTTGGCCAAAATATATATTTTTTAGTAAAAAAAAAAATAAGCCAAATTAGTTTATAAACCAAAAATTATAACTTTTAAATTTTTTTTTACATTTTTATTTTATTTTTTTATATTATTATTTATGTGTTTTTTTTTTTTTTTTTTACATACTGTCACCCTAGCAGTACAGTGTCACCATGGACTCTATTGCCAAAAGTATTGTCCCCGCCCTCCCAATCATGTGGTTCAGGTGTTCCAATTCCCTCCCAATCATGTGATTCACGTGTTCCAATTCCCTCCCAATCATGTGATTCAGGTGTTCCAATCCCCTCCCTATCATATGATTCGGGTGTTCCAATCCCCTCCCTATCATATGATTCAGGTGCTCCAATCCCCTCCCAATCATGTGATTCAGGTGTTCCAATCCCCTCCATATCATGTGATTCAGGTGTTTCAATCCCCTCCATATCATGTGATTCAGGTGCTCCAATCCCCACCATATCATGTGATTCAGGTGTTCCAATCCCCTCCCAATCATGTGATTCAGGTGCTCCAATCCCCTCCATATCATGTGATTCAGGTGTTTCAATCCCCTCCATATCATGTGATTCAGGTGCTCCAATCCCCACCATATCATGTGATTCAGGTGTTCCAATCCCCTCCATATCATGTGATTCAGGTGCTCCAATCCCCTCCATATCATGTGATTCAGGTGTTCCAATCCCCTCCATGGACACAGGTGTATACAATCAAGCCCCTAGGCATGCAGACTGCTTCTACAAACATTGGTGAAAGAATGGGTCGCTCTCAGGAGCTCAGTGACTCCAAGCGTGGTCCTGTGATAGGTGGCCTCCAAACTTGGTGTGGCCTTCAGATGAGCCCAACAACAGTGCGTAGAGAGCTTCATGGAATGGGTTTCCATGGCCGAGCAGCTGCATCCAAGCTTTCCATCACCAAGTGCAATGCAAAGCGTCGGATGCCGTGGTGTAAAGCACGTTGCCACTGGACTCTAGAGCAGGGGAGACATGTTCTCTGGAGTGACCAATCATGCATCTCTGTCTGGCAATCCAATGGACAAGTCTGGGTTTGGTGGTTAACAGGAGAACGGTACTCGACTGACTGCATTGTGCCAAGTGTAAAGTTTGGTGGAGGGGGGATTATGGTGTTGGGTTGTTTTTCAGGGGTTGGGCTTGGCCCCCTAGTTCCAGTGAAGGGAACTCTTAAGGTGTCATTTTGGACAATTTCATGCTCCCAACTTTGTGGGAAGAGTTTGGGGATGTTGCCACAAGTTAGCCTGCAGTTTCTTGTTTGAGTTCTTACCTCCTTGCTGCAGTGCTGTTCCTGATCCCTGTCACATGTGTTGTCTGTGCTCACCTATGGGCGTCGTCTGCTGTTCTCTGGGTTTCATTTCCTTCCCTTCCATCACTTCCTGGCCCGCCTCCTTGTTTGGCTGCCTATATAATACATGCTTGGTCTGGGCCACTTTGCCTGAGCAACTTCCTAGTTGTCGGAGCTCCTGTGTGTTGCTATTGCCTGTATCCTGCATTGACTACTCGTGTACTGACCCCGGCTTCATTCTCTGACCTTGCTTGTTTTCCGCCCATCCTGACCTCGGCTATTCTATCGGATTCTGTTTGTCTCCGCCCATTGTACTCTGCTTCCGCGAGCGGTCTCCTCATCCTCAGCTGGGCGTATCTGGGGGCCGCGATCTGGTCCCAGCTTGCTGCAAGTCCATCCCCACCATCAGGGGCTCTGGTGAAGAAGCAAGCTGGGGCGTAGACTCCATTCCCTGGGGAACCCCAAGTTGACTTCTACAAGGGCTCAGTACCACAGGTGCTGACAGATGGCCCCTTCCTCTTCCAACATCCTGCAAACAGTAACAGTGCCGTGTGTTACACACACAACCAAAAAAGTCCAAGAAATAGGTTAGAATAAAACAAAAACATTTTATTTTTTTATTTATTACAGGTTCTTGTATAGTGCCGCCAATTTATGCAGCGCTTTACATATACACTATATTGCCAAAAGTATTGTCCCCGCCCTCCCAATCATGTGATTCAGGTGTTCCAATCCCCTCCCAATCATGTGATTCAGGTGTTCCAATCCCCTCCATATTGTGATTCAGGTGTTCCAATCCCCTCCCAATCATGTAATTCAGGTCTTCCAATCCCCTCCCTATCATGTGATGTCAGTCTTCCAATCTCCTCCATATCATGTGATTCAGGTGTTCCAATCCCCTCCATATCATGTGATTCAGGTGCTCCAATCCCCTCCATGGACACAGGTGTATACAATCAAGCCCCTAGGCATGCAGACGGCTTCTACAAACATTGGTGAAAGAATGGGTCACTCTCAGGAGCTCAGTGACTCCAAGCGTGGTCCCGTGATAGGTGGCCACCTGGGCAATAAGTCCATCCGTCACATTTCCTGGCTACTAAATATTCCACGCTCAACTGTTAGTGGGATTATAACAAAGTGGAAGCCACTGGGAACAACAGCCACTCAGCCACCAAGTGGTAGGTCACGTCACATGACAGGGCGGGGTCAGCGCATGCTGAAGCGCACGGTGCGCAGAAGTCGCCAACTGTCTGCAGAGTCAATAGCTAAAGATCTCCAAACTTGGTGTGGCCTTCAGATGAGCCCAACAACAGTGCGTAGAGAGCTTCATGGAATGGGTTTCCATGGCCGAGCAGCTGCATCCAAGCCTTCCATCACCAAGTGCAATGCAAAGCGTCAGATGCTGTGGTGTAAAGCACGCCACCACTGGACTCTAGAGCAGTGGAGACGTGTTCTCTGGAGTGACCAATCACGCTTCTCTGTCTGGCAATCCGATGGACGTGTCTGGGTTTGGCGGTTGCCAGGAGAATGGTTCTTGCCTGACTGCACTGTGCCAAGTGTAAAGTTTGCTGGAGGGGGGGGATTTTGGTGTGGAGTTATTTTTCAGGGGTTGGGCTTGGCCCCCTAGTTCCAGTGAAGGGAACTCTTAAGGCGACATTTTGGACAATTTCATGCTCCCAACTTTGTGGGAAGAGTTTGGGGGTGACCCCTGCCTGTTCCAACATGACTGCCCACCAGTGCAGAAAGCAAGGTCCATAAAGACATGGAGGAGCCAGTTTGGGGTGGAGGAACATGACTGTCCTGCACAGATATCCATTAACATTTACCCCCAAATGAAAAGTCCTGAATATAACACAGTATAATCCTCCTGGATACAATAAGTAGTTGTGATGATACGGACGGTTTTACTAACACGTCAAAGTTGTTAAATTGTGCTTAGGCATTAACATTTGTTTTCCCCTTAGGCACGAAGGTAGCGCAGTGCTGAATAGCAAACAATGGCATGATCACAAAGGGGGTAAAATCTTCCGGAAGTCGAGCGGTTAAATACTTCAGGTCCTGATATCATGATACAAACCTCACACAGTTGGACAGAAGGCCCTTTGACATGAAAGCTCCCCTCTTCTATTCAGATCATGTAAAGCTCCGTAGTTCTCCTTTGTCTCCTCCTCACAGTTGGCCTTCGCAGAGTTGGACCCGCGTACATTCCCGCCTAGATTTTTTCCTCTTCTCCGCGGTGTTTACATATTTTTCCCTTGCAGACCTTCATAATCCTTTTTACTTGCCCATCACGGCAGAAACCTTCGGGATAATACGCGAAAACACAAAAACGCGAAACAATAGGAAGGAAGCCACACGGCCGCCCTTTCCTGGAAGACCTTCAAAAGAGACCTTCAAAATGGTTTGCCCCTCGCCCATCGCCGCAGAACCCTTTATACGTGAAAAATGTCACGAATGCCAAACAACCTTTGTGCTCTTTGTATTTATTTTGCATTGCTCTAAAGATTTCCGGAAGGGGTCCCCTTTGTGAGGCATCATCTGGGGCCATCTTGCCCGTTCCCGTGGCCGGTGGCGGCGAAGCGCGCGTCGCACAATACAAACACTCGTCGTAATGAGGCCTCGTCTTTTCATTCGCATCAAAGCGGAAGCCCCTTTTACACCAGGCTAGTCGGAACGCGTCCCGCAGATGAGTATTTCTGGCGTTCGCCATCCTCGCGGCTTTGTTGTCGGCGTGTCACTCACTTCTTTTTTTATTTTTTTTTTTTTCATCTTCGCCTTCTATAAAATCCAGGAATCAACTAACCTTGTATTTACCAACAGGAAAATGTGACCTTTCTGTTGATGGAAAAACACATCCTGCGATATGTGTTGGATTTATTAATATATTATGTACCAGAGAATCTGACATTTCTCACAACACGGACCGTGCACACGCGTGATGAAGGACTCGGTGACATATAATAATAATAAAAGAAGGGGTTCTTCACAACGCATAAAGAGCACCTGTCACTTATGCAATGAAAAGACGCCAAAACGGAGACAGGAACTGGCGGCAGAAAATGAAACATTTGTCACTGATAGAGGACTTAACTGTAACTGCCGTTTTTAGGCCCCTTTCACCCGGCGGGGGCGTTCCGTAGGTCCGTGTTCCATCTGTCCGTTTATGGATGAAAAATGGATCTCCATGTATTTCTGTGGATTAGCAGATGTAAACGGATGAGCTTCTGTCTACATCCTTTAACCACTTCAATACCGGTCACTTTTACCCCCTTCCTGCCCTCCAGCACTGTCACCCCCTTCCTGCCCACCGGGCACTGCCACCCCCTTCCTGCCTCCCAGGCACTGTCCCCCCCTTCCTGCCTACTGGGCACTGTCACCCCCCTTCCTGCCTACCGGGCACTTCTACCCCCTTCCTGCCTACCGGACACTTCTACCCCCTTCCTGCCTACCGGGCACTTCTACCCCCTTCCTGCCTACTGGGCACTTCTACCCCCCCTTCCTGCCTACAGGGGAATTACACCCCCTTCCTGCCTACCAGGCACTGTCACCCCCTTCCTGCCTACCAGGCATTGTCCCCCCCTTCCTGTTCTACCGAGCACTGTCACCCCCTTCCTGCCTACTGCTCACTGACACCCTCTTCCTACCTACTGGGCACTGTCACCCCCTTCCTGCCCTCTGGGCACTTCTACCCCTTCCTGCCCACTAGGCACTGTCACCCCCTTTCTGCCTACCGGTCAATGTCCCCCCCCTTCCTGCCCACCCGGCACTGTCACCCCCTTCGTGCCTACCGGGCACTGTCACCCCCTTCCTGCCTACCGGGCACTGTCACCCCCCCTGCCTACCAGGCACTGTCACCCCCTTCCTAACAGGCATTGTCCCCCCCTTCCTGTCTACCGAGCACTGTCACCCCCTTCCTGCCTACTGCTCACTGACACCCTCTTCCTACCTACTGGGCACTGTCACCCCCTTCCTGCCTACTGGGCACTGTCACCCCCTTCCTGCCCTCTGGGCACTGTCACCCCCCTTCCTGCCCACCGGGCACTGTCACCCCCTTTCTGCCTACCGGTCAATGTCCCCCCCCTCCTACCTACCCACCCGGCACTGTCACCCCCTTCGTGCCTACCGGGCACTGTCACCCCCTTCCTGCCTACCGGGCACTGTCACCCCCCCTGCCTACCAGGCACTGTCACCCCCTTCCTACCAGGCACTGTCCCCCCTTCCTGCCTACCGGGCACTTCTACCCCCTTCCTGCCTAGTTGGCACTTCTACCCCCTTCCTGCCTTCCAGGCACTTCTACCCCCTTCCTGCCTAGTTGGCACTTCTACCCCTTCCTGCCTTCCGGGCACTTCTACCCCTTCCTGCCTACCGGGCACTTCTACCCCCTTCCTGCCTACCGGGCACTTCTACCCCCTTCCTGCCTACCGGGCACTTCTACCCCCTTCCTGCCTACCGGACACTTCTACCCCCTTACTGCCTACCGGACACTTCTACCCCCTTCCTGCCTACCGGGGCACTTCTACCCCCTTCCTGCCTACCGGACACTTCTACCCCCTTCCTGCCTACCGGGCACTTCTACCCCCCTTCCTGTCTACCGGACACTTCTGCCCCCTTCCTGCCTACCGGGCACTTCTACCCCCTTCCTGCCTATCGGACACTTCTACCCCCTTCCTGCCTACCGGACACTTCTACCCCCTTCCTGCCTACAGGGCACTTCTACCCCTTCCCGCCTACAGGACACTTCTACCCCCTTCCTGCCTACAGGACACTTCTACCCCCTTCCTGCCTATCGGACACTTCTACCCCCTTCCTGCCTACAGGACACTTCTACCCCCTTCCCGCCTACAGGACACTTCTACCCCCTTCCTGCCTACCGGGCACTTCTACCCCCTTCCTGCCTACAGGACACTTCTACCCCCTTCCTGCCTACAGGGCACTTCTACCCCATCCTGCCTACCGGGGACTTCTACCCCCTTCCTGCCTACCGGACACTTCTACCCCCTTCCTGCCTACCGGACACTTCTACCCCCTTCCTGCCTACCAGGCACTGTCACCCCCTTCCTGCCCAGGCCAATTTTCATCTTTCAGCGCTGTCGGACTTTGAATGACAATTGCGCGGTCATGCAACGCTGTACCCATATAGAATTTTTATAATTTTTTTTTACAAAAATAGAGCTTTCTTTTGGTGGTATTTGATCACCACTGAGTTTTAAAATTTTTGCTAAATAAAACAAAAAAAACACCTGAAACCTTTGAAAATAAATGCACTTTTCTTCGTTTCTGTTATAAAATTTTGCAAATAAATAAAATTTCTTCATAAATTTAGGTCAAAATGTATTCTGCTGCATTTCTTTGGTGAAAATAATAATAATAATTGAAATTTTTTTTTTTTTCAAATGTTTCCATTTTTTTTAAAATTTTGTATTAAGTTTTTTCTTTTTTTTTTACTACCGGTATTTTATTTTCAGCACATTGTGACCAAAGCAATACAATAGTAACATGGAACTACTCTGGGCGAGTGATCAGGATTTGTTTTTTTTATGATTGCTAATACTGATGTATTTAATTGATATTTGCAGTCGTTGTTACTGAATGAATCAGATTTGTTCAGTCTTTTGTTGTGATTAGCTGTGATTGGGCAAAGCTGATCACATGATACAGATGGGCTGTGATTGGCCCCTGTCTGTATCATGTGACTGCCTTGACCAGTCACAGCTAACAACATAATTGTATACAATGGATGGCATGACAGGAAGCGATCCATTGTATACAATGGACATGTGATCTGCTGTGATTGGTCACTGCGGTCACATGACACTGGAAACGGGCCGGTGTAGTGATCTGTCATTGGCTGTGTCCCGTGGACAAATTGTCCCACGGCTGCATGAGCAGCTCATTTTGACAGGACATCATATGACACCCAGTCACAACGGCGAGTGTTCCGCCCGGCCATCAACCTGCTATAGGCGGGGCAGGAAGGTGTTAACCGCTTTAAAAAAAAAAACTCCGCCACCCTATAGCAGAAATACTGCTACAGCATGGCAGTTGTACGCAAAATCACATATATACACGCGCCCTACCTGTGCCGCCATTCACGCCCATGGCTGTCAATCACCATGTCTCGGCCAGTGA